ACATACTAGTGCAAATAGAGGTAACAGTTAACATACTAGTACAGACAGAGGTAACATTTAACATACTATTACACATAGAGGTAACAATTAACATACTAGTACACACAGAGGTAACAGTTAACATACTAGTACACATAGAGGTAACAGTTAACATACTAGTACACATAGAGGTAACATTTAACAAACTAGTACACACAGACGTAACATTTAACATACTAGCAGACTTACAGATAACATTTAACATACTAGTGCAAATAGAGGTAACAGTTAACATACTAGTACACACAGAGGTAACATTTAACATACTAGTACACATAGAGGTAACATTTAACATACTAGTGCACATAGAGGTAACAGTTAACATACTAGTACACACAGAGGTAACAGTTAACATACTAGTACACATAGAGGTAACATTTAACATACTAGTACACATAGAGGTAACAATTAACATACTAGTACACACAGAGGTAACAGTTAACATACTAGTACACACAGAGGTAACAGTTTACCTACTAGTAGCAACATAGAGGGTAACATTTAACATACTAGTACATGCCTGTAAACATTAACATACTAGCCAGAGGTAAACAGTTAATATTACACACAGAGGTAACAGTTAACATACTAGTGCACATAGAGGTAACATTAACATACTAGTACACTGACAGGTAACATTTAACATACTCCTACTAGCTGTTGAAGTAGGGTGTATTGGGCATAAAGGTTCAGATACCGCAAGCTAGCTGTAAACCACAACATAACGTTCTTACAAGCAAGCAAACGCAGAAGAAGAAGAAGCAGAAGATTGGCCTGTAAACATTTGCCATATTTATTCCTGATTGTCACTAGCGTCAAATAAAAAGGACGTTTACCACCCCCCCCCCCCCCCCCTTTCCCGCTCCAATCTCCCTCTTAAAAAAAAAAAAAACTTTCGCAGGGCAAAGACAGCGGTGAGAAAGTAAACATTGATAACGCACACAACGGTACAATGATAGCGTGAGGTTAGCAAAGAGGAATGTACAGTGGGTGCTTGATAGGGTATATGGAAAAGTACACGGATAGAGCAAAGATAGAAGACAGGAATGTACACAGTGTGCTGAGATAATATATGGCAAAGTACACGGGTAGCGTAAAGATATATGACAGGAGTGTACATAAGGTGCTGAGATAATATATGACAAAGTACATGGATAGACAAAGATAGAAGACAGAGATGTACACAGTGTGCTGAGATAATATATGACAAAGTACACGGATAGAGCAAAGATAGAAGACAGGGATGTACACAAGGTGCTGAGATAATATATGACAAAGTACATGGATAGAGCAAAGATATAAGACAAGAATGTACACACTGTGCTAAGATAATATATGGCACAGTACATGGATAGAGCAAAGATATAAGACAAGAATGTACACAGTGTGCTGAGATAATATATGGCAAAGTACATGGATAGAGCAAAGATATAAAACAAGAATGTACACAGTGTGCTGAGATAATATATGGCAAAGTACATGGATAGAGCAAAGATATAAGACAAGAATGTACACAGTGTGCTGAGATAATATATGGCAAAGTACATGGATAGAGCACAGATATATGACAGGAATGTATACAGTGTGCTGAGATAATATATGACAAAGTACATGGATAGAGCAAAGATATAAGACAAGAATGTACACAATGTGCTGAGATAATATATGACAAAGTACACGGGTAGAGTAAAGATATATGACAGGAATGTACACACGGTGCTGAGATAATATTGACAAAGTACACAGAAAGAGCAAATAAAGAAGACAGGAATGTACACAAGGTGCTTGGATAATAAATGACAAAGTACATGGATAGAGTAAAGATAAAAGACAGGAATGTACACAGTGTGCTGAGATAATATATGCAAATTACACGGATAAATCAAAGATAGAAGACACAAATGTACATAAGGTGCTGAGATAATATATGACAAAGTACACCGATAGAGCACAGATAGAAGACAGGAATGTACACAAGGTGCTGAGATAATATATGACAAAGTACACGGATAGAGCAAAGATAGAAGACAGGAATGTACATAAGGTGCTGAGATAATATATGAACAAAAGTACACGGATAGAGCACATATAGAAGACAGGAATGTACACAGGGTGCTGAGACAATATATGGCAAAGTATACGGATATAGCAAAGACAGAAGACAGAAATGAACACAGGGCACTGGGATAATATATGGCAAAGTACACTGTCTATAAGAAGAATTACTACCTGTCCAGGCAGTGAGAATACAAAAAGCAAGGGCCACTTTCGTGCATCAGAGAATCTGTGAGGAGGAATTAACTCTAATCCTAGCAACAAAGAAGAAACAACTAGCAGTGGTTACAGTGCAGCGCACACATGCTCATAAACACAGACGTGGAAACCTAGCGGATTTTTACCATAAGACTACACAAGACAGACTTTTATACTTTAGAGATTCTATCAACAGATATTAAACCTAGTAGCAAACATTGATTAATTACCTCATTAGAAATAGACAAGGGTATTTAAGAAGGGGAAAAAAAATCGTAGATGGAAAGATAGCAGAAATATAACTGGCCTTCTAACATTACGTGGTCGCAAAAAAAAGACGCAGTAGCGATAATATAAATAAAAAAAAAAAGTGGACTTTTTAACTAAGCGACAGTTAATGTTTCAGTGCTATCTTTAAAACTCAGCGGAGACCTGTTTTTTTTTTGTTTAATCATCTCGGTTCCGACCAGTTACAAAATGGACAACGAATTTCTGGACTCCGCGCGCTGTGGCCATTATGAAGTCATGTGACATCGAGCGCTGGTGCTTTTCCCGCCCGCAAACCGTCTGCCGAGAAGTTGGCGGGAAGCTCGAGACAAATGACCTCCGAAAGAAGTCAAAATCACTGCCAGAATATCAGAAAAATAGAGGGGAGGTTGATCAAACTAGGATTTAGAACAGCTTGGTACCCTCATCCTATCAGATTTTCTTTGAACTAACGAGCATATGTTGAATTGCTTTGTATAGAACATTTTTATAAACAAAAGCTTTATTTAATCCAGCCATGACGACGACTATCGCTGGATTATTGTGGTGAAAGTAGTCGGTTTATTGGCTATTTCAGTCAAAGTTGTGCCACTCACTAAACATTGATAGAAATATAAAGGATGCACGCTGTGCTGGCGCACTATTATCAAACAAGACAAAGGACAAAGTATTTAATTAAGAGCTTATATAAAAAAAAAAAAAAAACTAACAAACAACTGTAAAGAGTCGAAACGGTCACTACTGTCTGCTTCAGCACTTTTAGGGTGGTGTAAACGGGGGAGGGGGAGGGGTGGGGGTAGCTTTCATCAAAAACAAAGAAGCAACAAAAAAAATGTGGTTTCACAGACGATTATTGAAAATACAATGAATAATCAAGAGAGAGAGAGAGAGAGAGAGAGAGAGAGAGAGAGAGAGAGAGATACAAAGACAAAAAAATATATCAACAAAATTGGGTGACAAATATAAAGCTGCATGATCACACACGCCTTTAACCAAACGTCTGAGGTTACTCATGACGCACACAGACCCATTTGTACAATCTGAGGTTACTTATGACGCACACAGACCCATTTGTACAATCTGAGGTTACTCATGACACACACAGACCCATTTGTACACTCTGAGGTTACTTATGACGTACACAGACCCATTTGTACAATTTGAGGTTAATCATGACGCACACTGACCCATTTGTACAATCTGAAGTTAATCATGACGTACACTGACCCATTTGTACAATATGAGGTTAAACATAACGCACACTGACCCATTTGTACAGTCTGAGGTTACTCATGACGCACACAGACCCATTTGTACAATCTGAGGTTACTCATAACGCACACTAACCCATTTGTACAATCTAAGGTTACTCATGACGCACACTGAGCCATTTGTACAATATGAGGTTACTCATGACTCACACTGACCCATTTGTACAATCTGAGGTTACTCATGACGTTCACTGAGCCATTTGAACAATCTGAGGTTACCCATGACGCACAATGACCCATTTGTACAATATGAGGTTCCTCATGATGCACACTGACCCATTTGTATAGTCTGAGGTTGCTCATGACGCACACTGACCCATTTGTACAATCTGAGGTTACTCATGACGCACACAGACCCATTTGTACAATCTGAGGTTACTCCTGACGCAGACAGACACATTTGTACAATCTGATATTACTCAGGACACACACAGACCCATTTGAACAACTTGATGTTACTCATGACGCACACTGACACGTTTGTACAATCTGAGGTTACTCATGACGCACACTGACCAGTTTGTACAATCTGAGGTTACTCATGACGCACACTGACCCGTTTGTACAATCTGAGGTTACTCGTGACGCACACAGACCCATTTGTACAATCTGATGTTACTCATGACGCACACAGACCCATTTGTACAATGAAGTCAGAAATACATGTGGACAGTAGGGTGCAGATACTGACAGCACTCTTCAGTTTGCTTAGTAATTTGAAATCAATACTAGAATTGACCTAAATCCCACCCACGTTTGTTGTAGAACTGTCAACGGTGAAAGACGACTGGCGAACTGGTCAGGAGTTCACGTGAAATGATGTCAGGATTGTATTTTGAATAATATCAGGATTCTACATTTAATAATGTCAAAAGTTAAATGGAATAATATCAGGATTCTACTTTGTTTAAAGTCAAAAGTCTACACAGAATACACTTCCATGAGTCTTTATACAATAATGTCAGGATTCTTTATGGAACATGGTCAGGATTATATATATAATAATGTCATGATTCTATATGGAACAATGACCGGGTTTTATATGAAATAATGTCAGGATTCTATATGGAATACTGTCAGGATTCTATACGACACAATGTCAGGATTGTAAATGGAACAGAGCTAGTATGCTAAACAATTTATGTGACACACAGTTGCATAAGCGTTTACCTGATCTTTCTGCTTGCTGAGGTTTTCTCGAATATTCTGCAGGTGGCTGATCATCTCACTGATCTGACGTTCCTTTTCACTTAAAGTTGCCTCGCCCGCTAGCACGGCTTGAACCGTGTCCATCACCTTGGGGCTGTGGTTGAAGTCTTCGCTTACGTCTCCCGCCATGTCCACGGACGTGTCTGGCACCTTGGAATTCAGTCTCTTTAGGACGGACTCCATGGACCGCCTCTGAGAGTTGTACTGCATGACAGTCCCTAAAATAGATGGCGAGGAGGATAAGCAGAGTTTCGATGGCGACGACGCCCGCAGAGAGGACTGGCAGTTTGTGTCCACAAACAAATCAGACTGTAAATCTCCTGCATCAGATTCTGAGTCTGACTCCTGTCGACTCTGTGACTGGACGAGGCTGTCGGCTCCCAGATCCAGACAGTCTGGTTTGTCTCCGTGAGAAATGTTCGTACCTGTGTCTGCTTCTCTCTGGAGGTACGCTTCATCGATGTCTCCAGTGCCCCGGCTGTCGACCCTGTCCTCGTCTGTGTGATCGCTGTCACAGTCGACGTTGTCGGCGTCCTCCTCCTCTGTCTGTAAAGAGGAGCTGAGGCTCAGTGAAGGTTGCTCGTTGACCAAACTATCTTTAGACAGCTTGGTGGGTGTATTCTTTCTCTTCGAAGACATAGTCCTGCAAGATATCAAAGTTAAATATGTATTATGTCAATTTAAAAAAAAAATAAAAAAAGAAAGGACCCTTTTCCACGCCTTTCAGGCGTATTGGGTATATAGGGCTAGACCTATATTTTATAGACCAAACGGCCTTTGATGGATGATGTGGTCAGCATCATACCGGCCGCCTTTACTTCCAGAAATGTACCTGGTACCCACTCAAGGCTGTGTGGACATTGGAGCCAAGGTCATTCTGGACAAAAAATCGGCCCTGTCAGGAACCGAACCCACGACCTTCCGATCAGCAGTCGAGCGCCTAGCCGCTAGACCACTGCGGCTCCCGTATCATGTCATATAGTTTGCAAATAAATATGGTTTAATCATTACAAAGTACTATTTGAAGCATCTGGCTCAAAGACCATTGGTGCAATGCCACTTTATGCCAGTCAACCTTTGACTAGTGGTAGAATCAACATCACGTCTATGGCCGTCACTTCCAAATACATATCCTGGTACACATTTAGAAAAGAAAAAAAAAAAAACCTGTTTAATAATTGTTTGCTCAATTACCATTATTTAGCCAGTTGTCATTAAGCTAAATGAAAACAATGGACGTATCCGTTGTCCTTCAAGAGGTTAAAAAAATTTTTATTGCTGCATTTGATCGCTTAAATCTTCTGTTTAAAATGACATATATAACCCGGCATCAGAACGTTTCATGAGCAGCTGAACACAGGGACTAGTTATTTATGTCATTGAGCGTGTGCTTGTAGAACCTGTCCTGTTTTGTTTATCATGATAAATCTCGCAGCTAAACTTATCTTTGGCTGCCATTCTTTCATTTTAAAATAAAAGTGAAGTTTCTGTTTTATAGCTATCCAGTAACGTGGCGCTCCTCGTTAAAACTGTTTTGTTGTTGGTGTATCCATATCACAATTCTCTTGTAAACATTCACATCTTCATCTCCAAAAAGGAGGTAGCTATGAAACAGAAGGAGGGGTCACGGAGATAAACGTGTGCACAGAAGGGAAGCGGTCTTATCTGTAGAGATGAAAGCTGAGTATACAGAGATACGACATCAAGGTCACAGACAGACAATAGCCAGACTGTGACAGAATTTGCCTTGTGGGCGCCCGCAGGTTGGCGTTTGTGAAAGTTAGCACGTACCAGCGACTCAGTGGAGTCCAGTTAAAGCGTCCCAAACAACGTTCTGTGAGTGACTAGAATCATCTCCTACAGCGAATTAAACTTAACACTGACTTTTGTATATACAATTCAAAACTGTTTGAGTATCATCTTATCGTAGACTACATACCCCCTTACAAGATGATAGTATTTTACGCGTATGGTATATTTCCCTAAAAGGTATTACAATTACTGCAGGAAGAAAGACTATTGTTTAGAAATGTATGGATGATTACAGCTAATTTCAGCCGTTGTAGTTAATGATTGATTGTTGTTGATAATGTTTATTATTTCCCGTTTAAAGATGCATGGATGGCGCAAAGTGGAAGTAAGGCTAGAAGGACAGATTGTTAGATGATCTTGCGTGCCTAATGCTTAACTCTTTGAAAATAAAGTGCATGCGTTCGTTCTTTTGCTCGTGCCCAGTGTTTAACTCTTTGAAAATAAAGTACATGCGTTCGTTCATTCAGTTATTCATTTGTAGAAATTAACCATGCACTCCGAACAACGTGCTTTCAGTGACTAGATAGTGCTCATATGCACGTGTTGTGCAAATCTGTACATGTGACATTTAGTCAGGCATTTTTATTGATCGATCTTTACCCTGTTTATTTCAACATTTATCGACCTCACACACCCTTACCACAGTTAACAATCAGCTTACAAGAAACAGACTAACCACAGTTAACAATCAGCTTACAAGAAACAGACTAACTACAGTCAACAGTCAGCTCACTAACCACAGTCAACAATCAGCTTACGAGAAACAGACTAACCACAGTTAACAACCAGCTTACGAGAAACAGACTAACCACAGTCAACAATCAGCTTACGAGAAACAGACTAACCACAGTCAACAATCAGTTCACAAGAAACAGACTAACCACAGTCAACAATCAGCTTACGAGAAACAGACTAACCACAGTCAACAATCAGCTTACGAGAAGCAGACTAGCCACAGTCAACAATCAGCTCACGAGAAACAGAATAACTACAGTCAACAATCAGCTCACGAGAAACAGAATAACTACAGTCAACAATCAGCTCACGAGAAACAGACTAGCCACAGTCAACAATCAGCTCACGAGAAACAGAATAACTAAAGTCAACAATCAGCTCACGAGAAACAGAATAACTAAAGTCAACAATCAGCTTCCGATAAACAGACTAACCACAGATAACAATCAGCTTACGAGAAACAGACTAACCACAGATAACAATCAGCTTACGAGAAACAGACGCCCTAGATGATATTGTATCTATTTGTATTGAAAATATTCAAACTAATTCGCTCACAACATAGAACTGTAAACTAAAATAGCTATAAACCGAAACATAGAACAGAACAGTCAAAATTCAATAACATTATATCTATGAGGAGCACGGTAAGTTATACCTGACCATAGGCACTGATCTAACAGTAGGTATACACAAGCAACGGAAATCTACGGAAAGCACACACACGCACACAAACATACACACACGTGACAGCGCGTGCAGATACACATACACATACACACACGTGAGCGCGCGCGCACACACACATATACTGAATATATTCAGCTATGAATATATATACATACATCTATACACAATTTTGGGTTTTTGTATGTGTGTGTGCGTGCGTGCGTGTCTGTTCAAGCGTATGTTAAGGCTTCTTTCCACCTGTACGCACCTAGATATATATTTATTATAGTAAGAAGAAACTCCACAGGGAAGCATGTACATTTCACTATAACGGCAACAAGACTTCCCGTGTCTTCTCTATAGCTGCCAATAACAGATTTACAGATGCAATCAGGTGATTATAATTACCAACGGTTAAACTAATAACTTACCACGGTATACGACAGTAGTCAAGTGGAGAAGAAAGAAACAATACGAGAAATCTGACTGTTACATGCTGGCCACAAGTCAGTGATTAAATCAGGAAGTTGGTGGCCACCAACTGTCACCTTTCCGCATGACTGGTCAGATCATTTGCTTCAGAAGCCAGCCAAGACCCACCGAGCTAATGTTTAAAATACAATAATTAATTACAATAATCTGAACAATCCCGGCCTGGCCATCACCTGGGGAGATCACTGACAACAGATCTGTCACACTCGTTCCCAAACCTCAACCGCCAACAACTTTCTTCACCCCCACCCAGCCATACAGGCCGTGTTGTGTGCAGTACTTTTAAAATTGGTTTCCGTCATCATTGTAGACTGAAAGGCTTGTCTGATCTCTAGCACAAGTAGGTGCACTTGAGCTCTGACAAGTTTACCCAACACAATGTTGTCCATTTCACCATTGCTTTCACGGCGTTCACGTTGTTTGGTGGTGCTGGGGTATCAAACGTCGGAATACACACTTGCACGTGTCAAACCATCCACTCACGGCTCTCGTCTGATCCTTACCTCCTCACATCTATGACACCCTAGGGCAACGTTGTGAATGATCGTTTGTCAATCGATATGATGCATTCTCTACGTACCGCATTATTCTCAATCCATCCCTTGCTTGCCCTTGTCATAATCTCCCCTTCCTTATCCCGTGGTAAAAATTAAGTTGGCAGAATAATCGGTTTTTTTCTTGATTCTGGTTGTAGCTTCATTACGCGTCCTCTTCTGAAAGTCCATGCTTTGTGGTGTTGGTAGTCATGTCTATCCACAACCTTCCGTCTCGTGTACTTTCAGTCAACTCTGATACAGACGATCCTCCATTACATTAGGAGCAATTCAGTCAGCAAACATGACCAAGCTTAGAGCAGCAGTAGATTAGTGGCTTGAAGTTTGTTTGTTGGCCCGAATGTATTAGTTCGAATCCACTTTAATGCGGATTTGTTATAACTGATCTTGGATGTCAGGTCAATCTAACCAAAGATAACACCTTGTCCTGGGAAGTAAAAGCGGCTGACTTGGTGTAACCACATCCAGAGCTGACTGACTGACACAAATATAGGTCTAGCCCCACGTGCCCAGTGCACTAATGAGGAAAGTTGGGTACTTAATTTATAACTTACCCCTGACGTCACGACAACGTCACGGGAGACATTCCCAATAAATTCTAGGGTGTTCAGGTTGTAGTTTCTCGCGATTTCTCTACAGTAAAGTTTAGGGTTAGGGTTAGGGTTAGGGTTGGGGTTAGGATTAGAAGACACTAGATGAACACTCAAAAAAAAAGCACCACACAACAGCACACTTGCACCCCTTGAAATAATGGAGTGTCAGGTCAGCTGTGGATTTCCCACGGGGATTTCCTGTTTGGGGTACGTTATAAATTAAGAACCGAAAGTTGTTTGACTTGTAAATATCCCATCTCACAAGCTGACAGCCAGCAATGACAACCAACAGTCAGCGTCACCACACAAGAACAGACAGAAGGAAACTAGACAGTCTGGCACCTGTACGTTTTCCCAGTCTAACAACAGAAGACGAGCGCTCTCAGCGCAGTGAAAGTAAACTCAAATAAACCACTTACATCATGCTACTGCCGCATCAGGCATATGGTGCTGGACATACTTTTACAGATTACTCGACAATTACTCAAGGGGTGATGGGGTAAATATCACGCTAGCCGCTTATTCTTCCCAGAAAAATGCCCTGATACCCATCTTAGGATTGGTCGATTCGAGAGTCCAGCTAATCTATACCAAACAGCTGCTGTGCATATTCGAATAAAATACTCCGAGGACGGCTATGAAGCTTGCGAGCGCGCGCGCGCACACACACGTGCGCGCACACACACACCCACAAACTAAGAAACTAGAAACGCTGGGATTTGTAAATCTTCCCACAGTAGGGGTAAAAAAACGGATTTCTTGTCAGAGATAGACTGAATTAAAT